CCCACACACACACACACACACACACACACACACACACTGCCTTGGGTCTCTCAAACACACACTACCATAAGAATCTCACTGTCATTCACACGCACGCACACACATCTGTCATTCTCACACACACACAAACACACACTCTACGATAAGAGTCTCACTGTCATTCTCACACACACACACACACAAACACACTGCCTTGGGTCTCACAAACACACACACACACACACACTCTACCATAAGAGTCTCACTGTCATTCGTTAACCTCTCTTCATAGGGGACCCCGAATCATTTTAGTTGCTCTTTTCTGAACCCTTTCCAAGGCCAAAGTATCTTTTTGGAGGTGAGGAGACCACATCTGTACACGGTATTCCAGATGTGGGCGTACCATAATTTTATACCGGGGCAGTAAAATATTCTGGGTCTTATTTTCTATCCCTTTCTTAATAATTCCTAACATCCTATTTGCCTTTTAGACCACCGCAGCACACTGTATGGACGTTTTCAGAGAATTAGCCACAATAACTCCAAGATCTCTTTCCTGATTTGTTGTAGCCAAATTAGCTCCAATCACACTGTAGATATAGCTGGGGTTATTTTTTCCAATGTGCATTACTTTACACTTATCCACATTACATTTCATTTGCCATTTTGTTGCCCAGTCACTCAGTTTGGTGAGATCTTTTTGAAGTTTTTCAGCAGACCCCGAAGAAGGGGTGGGAAGGAGGCGGGGCCAGGGTGTTCGGGTTTGAGGTAGATCCTGGATCGCACTTACATTCAAAAAGCGATCTCGTGCTGAAAAAGGTTGGCGACCCCACCTGCATTTGCCCCCATTCCTTGCCAATAAATTTCTAACAGGCTGGGCAGCAGCCCGGCTCAGTCCCAGCTTGCACTGGGTCCTGGACCTACCCCCCCACTGCATTTCAAGTGGATTACGCCCACCTCAGTCCTGGCATGTGTTGAGTCCTGGAACTCAGACCCCTCTTTAGACAGGGGCTGCCCGGGGACTATAGAAGAGTCGACTAACCTATAAGAATGCAGGAGGTTAATCGACTATATTGAATTAACCGATATTTAACATCCCTAGTGAGAATAACATACTTGAGGGCTGTGTCTAGAGTGGCAAGTTTTTCCACAAAATCATCTGATTTTGCGGAAAAACTTGCCAGCTGTCTACACTGGCAGCTTGAATTTCCGGAAAAGTGCTTTTCCGGAAATACTATGCTGCTCCCGTTTGGGAAAAAGTCTTTTTCCGAAAGACTTTGGCGCAAAAGGGCCAGTGTAGACAGCATAGTACCGTTTTCCACAAAAAAGCCCCGATGGCAAAAATGGCGATCGGGGCTTTTTTGCAGAAAACCGCGTCTAGATTGGCCCCGGACGCTTTTCCACAAAAAGTGCTTTTGCAGAAAAGCATCCTGCCAATCTAAACGTGCTTTTCCGAAAATGCTTTTAACGGAAAAGTCTTCCGTTAAAAGCATTTTCGGAAAATCATGCCAGTGTAGACGTAGCCGAGGTATGTGGGGGAGGGGGATCAGGGTGCAGGCTGTAGGAGGGAGTTTGGGTGCATGAGGACTCAGGTCTAGAGCAGAGATTTGGGGTGCAAGGGGTTCATGTTTGGGGCTGGGGTTCAGAATGCAGGCTTCATCACAGGTGGCTTCTGGGTAGTGATGCAAGGGGTTAGGGCAGGCTCACCTCTGCCCAGAGACCACCCCACTCCCAAAAGTAGTCAGCAAAATCTTTCCATTCCTTACCCCCCGCTTCCACTCTGTGGGGGTGGGGGAAGGGCACTCTGACATCAGCACCCCAACCTTTCCTTCCCGTGTCATGCACGGCAAGCAGCAGGCTCCCAGGAGTTGGGGGCAGCTCGAAGGCAGAGGGCAGGTGGAGCACAACAGTGCTGAGAGCGCCAGAACGTGATAGCGTCCTGGCCAAACCTGTCAGGATCACCTGTCAAAAGCTCCAAGATCTATCAGTAGATCCCGATCGACTGGTTGGTGCCCACTGCCTTCATATTTTTAAATGGCAGTAAATGTGGGGAAAAAAACCAGACAAGCAGTCATAATGTGCCCCTCTGAAAAAATACAATAAAAATATCCCAAGTGGTCACGATGCCAAAAGTGTACACGTACAAAAATGAGACCCAACGGCATGTCATAAACCAAAAAGGGGGCATAGACCTGTCAAAAATGTACATAGTGACGAAAGATATACAGCCTTTTACTACTGCTCCGCTCGTCTTGCAAGATGGGAAATGCGGAATCAAGGCTGACAGCCTGCCAGGATACAACATGCTATTTCACAATCGTGGAAAACCAAGTACAAGTCCCCTGATGTATTTTAAAGTAACAGTTACTTGGCAGTATCTTACTGATTTTAATTGTATATCTATTGTCACTGAACGGCGTGTTAACAACAGATATGTTTACTACTAACGTGGACACTAATGAAACATGCAAAAGAGCATTTTGCTGATATAGTTTATTGCAGTATTCTGCCTCATCCCACCCCGCCCCACACACACACACACACACACACACACACCAAAATAATCTCTACTGGTAAAAGTGCAAAATTCAGCCGTGTAACTGTGCCTACACAAAGGGCATTTACCAACAGGTCATTCATTCACTCACAAATCACACTTTTAGACATAACTCCTGGCAAAACGTATAGGCTACGTCTAGACTGGCATGATTTTCCGCAAATGCTTTTAACGGAAAAGTTTTCCGTTAAAAGCATTTGGGGAAAAGAGTGTCTAGATTGCTTTTGCGGAAAAGCGCCTGTGCCAATCTAGACGCTCTTTTCCGCAAATGCTTTTAACGGAAAACTTTTCCGTTAAAAGCATTTCCGGAAAAGAGCATCTAGATTGGCACGGACGCTTTTGCGCAAAAGCATCCATGGACAATCTAGACGCGCTTTTGCGCAAAAAAGCCCTGCTCACCATATTAGTGATCGGGGCTTTTTTGCGCAAAATAAATCTGAGCTGTCTACTCTGATCCTTTTGCGCAAAAGGACTTTTGCCCGAATGGGAGCAGCATAGTATTTCCGCAAGAAGCACTGATTTCTTACATGAGATCATCAGTGTTCTTGAGGAAATTCAAGCGGCCAGTGTAGACAGCTGGTAAGTTTTTCCGCAAAAGCAGGCAGAAAAACTTGCCAGTCTAGACACAGCCATGGGCTATGTCTAAACTACAGGTTTTTTTTGAAAAAAGTGGCCTTTTTTTGAAAAAAAACCCTTCACCTGCGTCTAGACTGCCGCTGCGTTCTTTCGAAATAAATCAAAAGAACGTGGTGCTTTTTTCGACAACGGTACACCTCATTTTATGAGGAAGAACGCCTTTTTTCCAAAGAGCTCTTTCAAAAAAGGCGTTCTTGACCACAAACAGGGCTTTTTCGAAAGAGAGCATCCAGATTGCCGGGGTGCTCTCTTTCGAAAAAGCACATCGCTTTTTCGAAAATGTTGTGGCTGTCTAGACGATCGCTTTCAAAAGAAGCTTTTTCAAAAGATTTCAAAAAAGCTTCTTTCAAAAGAAGCATGTAGTATAGACGTACCCGTAGCATAGACACAGTTAGGTCAACAAATGGGTCCATTTGGTGGGGGAAATGGTACCGTTTATACTAACAAAACTCTTGTTAGTATAAGAAAGGCAAAGGCAAGTTTCCTAGAGATCTTATTCAGGTCAGTACAGCGAAGCCACAAAACATGACAGTCTGAAGCATTTCTCACATGTGGCACATTCATGGAATTTTCCTACTGCGGAAATACTCTGAGGCTACGTCTACACTGGCATGATTTTCCGGAAATGCTTTTAACGGAAAAGTTTCCCGTTAAAAGCATTTCCATAAAAGCGCGTCTAGATTGGCAGGACGCTTTTCCGGAAAAGCACTTTTTGCGGAAAAGCGTCCGTGGCCAATCTAGACGTGCTTTTCCGCAAAAAAGCCCCGATCGTCATTTTCGCGATCGGGGCTTTTTTGTGGAAAACATTACTGTGCTGTCTACACTGGCCCTTTTCCGGAACAGTTTTCCGGAAAAAGACTTTTGCCCGAACGGGAGCAACATAGTATTTCCGGAAAAGCACTGATGATTTTACATTAGATCGTCAGTGCTTTTCCGGAAATTCAAGTGGCCAGTGTAGACAGCTGGCAAGTTTTTCCGGAAAAACGGCTGATTTTCCGGAATAACTTGCCAGTGTAGACACAGCCTGATAGTTAATAGTTTGATGTTCCGATGGAAGCATCTCTTTACATTACACTCTGGTGTGCGAGGGGAATGTCTCTCCAGTCAGAGGCCACATCAAGGGTTTTTTTTGGAGGGGGGCTTCTCACTTGTGTGTGGGCCCCCAACTGATTTTTGTGGGGGTCAGTGGCTTCCAACCCAAAAAAGGTTCCCCCACCTCTGTCTTACAGGTTCTCCCTGGTGTGCGTTCTCTGATGTTTTATAAGGTTGGAGCTCCGATTGAAGGTTTTCTCACAATCGCTGCATCTAAAGGGCCTCTCTCCCGTGTGGATTTTCTGGTGCTGAAGGAGATGCGAGCTCTGAATGAAACTTTTCTCGCACACCGCACACTGGTAAGGCCGCTCTCTAGTGTGAGTTCTCTGATGCTGAATTAAATGCGAGCTGTACACGAAGCTTTTCTCACAGTCGGCGCACTTGTACGGCTTCTCTGCTGCGTGGTTTTTCTGATGGAGCGTAAGCTGCGAGCTCCGGCTGAAACTCTTTTCACAGCTGGGGCATTGGTAAGGTCTTTCCGCGTGGTGGGTTCTCTTGTGCCGAAGAAGACGGGCGCTGCTGGCAAAGGTTTCGTCACACTGGCTGCACTTATAGCTCTGTTCTCCCGCGTGGATTCTCGTGTGTTTATTTAGCACGGAGCTCCGGCTAAAGCTTTTCTCGCACTCAGGACACTTAAAAGGCTTTTCTTGGGTGTGAACTCTCTGGTGCTGAATGAGATGGGAGCTCTGGTGGAAACTTTTCGCACAGTCAGAACACTGGTAGGGTTTTTCTCCCCGGTGCACTCGTTCATGCAGCTTCAGGTGAGAGCTCTGAATGAAACTTTTCTCACAGTCGGAACACTCATAGGGCCTCTCCCCCGTATGGATCCTCTGATGCTTACTAAGATTGGAACTTTTGTTGAAGCTTTTGTCACATTCGGCGCATTGATAGGGCTTCTTTTGATGTTTGCGAAGGTCTGAGACAAGACCAAACCACTCCTCGCAGCCATCGGACTTGTCGAATTCCTCACCCGTGTGCATTCTCTGGTGCAGAACGAAATGAGCCCGGACCAGAAAGGTCTCCTCGCATTCCCCGCAGGCATAGGGTTTCTGTTCCGTGTGCACCCTCTGATGTTTGAGAAGATTCGCACTCTGCACAAAGCACTTTGCGCAGGTGGGACATGTATAGGGTCTTTCTCCTGTGTGAAGTCTCCGGTGCTTTATAAGGGTGGAGCTCCAACTGAAGGTTCTCTCACAATCTGGGCATTTATAGGGTCTCTCGCCCGTGTGAACTCTCTGGTGCTTAATAACCGATGAGATCCAACTAAAGCTTTTCTCGCACTGAGGACACTTGTGGGGTTTCACTCCTGTGTGGACATTTTGATGCTGAATTAGCCGCGTGCTCCGAATGAACCGTTTCCCACATGTCTCGCATTTGTAAGGTTTCTCTTGCGTATGTGTTCGCTGATGGTCAATCAACTCTGATCTCTGTCGGAAGCTTTTCTCGCACTCGGTACACGTATAGGGTCTCTCACCCGTGTGGATTCTCTGGTGCTGAAGAAGATGTGCGCGGCGAGTGAAGCTTTTGTCACACACAGTACATTTATGGGGTCTCTCGCCTGGGTGGAGAGGAATGTTTTGGCCTTTGCTGAAAGCTCTTTCATTTGGAATCGATTTCTCCATGCTCTCGCCTTCTGCGTTCCCATGTTGGCCAGCTGACCTATATTCACCCTCACACATATTTCCCTCAACAGAGTTAAATACTTCCCCTCTTGGAGATAAATTCCTGAGCTTTACCAAGCCCTCAGAATTTCCCTGTGAATGATTCTCTTCAGTCTTCCACATGATTCTATCATTTGCTGGAATAAATGAGAATCCAAATGTTACTTCAACACACAAAGGATACTGGACATGTTAACATAAGGCACAAAAACATACAGCATGGCTGTGTCTACACTGGCCACTTATTCCGGAAAAGCAGCCACTTTTCCGGAATAACTTGCCAGCTGTCTACACTGGCCGCTTGCTTTTCCGGAAAAGCAATGACGATCTAATGTAAAATCGTCATTGTTTTTCCGGAAAAACTATGCTGCTCCCGTTCGGGCAAAAGTCCATTTCCGGAAAAACTGTTCCGGAAAAGGGCCAGTGTAGACAGCCCAGTAGTCTTTTCCGCAAAAAAGCCCCGATCGCAAAAATGACGATCGGGGCTTTTTTGTGAAAAAGCGCGTCTACATTGGCCATGGACGCTTTTCCGGAAAAGCGTCCTGCCAATGTAGACGCTCTTTTTCTGGAAATACTTATAACGGAAAACTGTTCCGTTTTAAGCATTTCCGGAAAAGGGTGCCAGTGTAGACGTAGCCCATATGTATGGAGATTTACCTATCTCATAGAGCTGGAAGGGATCTTGAGAGGTCATCAAGTCCAGTCCCCTGCCCTCACGGCAGGACCAAGTACCATCCCTGACAGATTTGCCCCTAAGGATCTGTCTAAACTACAGGCTTTTGTCGACATTTGACAAAGTTTGAGACGCAGGCTCCCTTCTGTCCACACACAAGTCGGCTTGACTTGGTTCAGTCACCCTGGGCCAATGCTCCTTCTCATTTTTTCCATCCACGTGCGGAATACATTTTGTTATGTGCAGTGATACACGTGTGGATGTGCACCACCAGTAGAAACACAAGCTGCCGGCTGTGGGTAGCATTTTGAATTTCTCCTGGGTGGCCGCCCATGTACTCAGCTTACAGGGAACACTGCCCAAGACCAACACCCTTGCTGGAGGGGTGTAACAGCCCAAGTCCCTGTCATTTTGCAGTGGGGATGCAACCCAAGGCAGAAGCTTGGTGTCATGCAGTGTGGACGTCCCTGTAAGATCATACTGGCATTCCGTCTACAGGCTTTATTACAAAAGCTGAAAGTAGCCCTTCCATCTCCCTTCAGGAGTGTAGTACTCCATACCCACAGAAGGAAGGACAAAATGCAACGGGCTAAAGCAGTAGTTCTCAAATTTTTCGGCATCATGCCCCCTTTTTGATCTTTGAGAAACCCTTATCCTTCCCTCCCCCCCACAACAGCAGCAAAACTTGTTGAGCAAAAAAAAAAAAGAAAAGAAACTGATCAGGGCATAGCAGGCATTGCCCTTTTAAGGAGGCCAATGCTGCCCCTTTAAGAGCCGCAAGTGCGGGAGCTGCAATTTTTCCTCATGAACTGCGGGTTGGCCACCTCTGTGTTAGTCTATAAGGTGCCACAGGACTTCTTGTTGTTTTCACAGAACAGGTCAGACTCTCGTCAGGGTTGGTTGTGGTTTCTTAGGACTAGGTCCTGACTCAGTGCCTCTGAAAGCCCCTTCCAGCTCTACATTTCTACGGTTCAGAAGCTCGTTCTCCACCTCCTGGCTTGGTTCATGTTTCAAAAGTCTACAGAGAGGCCAGACAATGATACCAAATGTGTCCTGCCATTCCACTTCAGCAGTCAGAAGAATCATAGAATACTAGGACTGGTAGGGACCTCGAGAGGTCATCGAGTCCAGTCCCCTGCCCTCATGGCAGGACCCAATACTGTCTAGACCATCCCTGATAGACATTTACCTAACCTACTCTTAAATATCTCCAGTGATGGAGATTCCACAACCTCCCTGGGCAATTTATTCCAGTGTTTGACCATCCTGACGGTTAGGAACTTTTTCCTAATGTCCAACCTCAACCTCCCTTGCTGCAGTTTAAGCCCATTGCTTCTTGTCCTATCCTCAGAGGCCAAGAACAAGAAGTTTTCTCCCTCGTCCTTTCATGTCCCCCCTCAATCTTCTCTTTTTTAAACTAAACAAACCCAATTCCTTCAGCCTTCCTTCATAGCTCATGTTCTCAAGATCTTTCATCATTCTTGTTGCTCTTTTCTGGACCCTCTGCAATTTCTCCACATCTTTCTTGAAATGCGGTGCCCAGAACCAGACACAACACTCCAACGAAGGCCTAACCAGCACAGAGTAGAGCGGAAGAATGACTTCTCGTGTCTTGCTCGCAACACACCTGTGAATGCAGCCCAGAATCATGTTTGCCTTTTTTGCAACAGCATCGCACTGCTGACTGATATTCAGCTTGTGGTCCACTATAACCCCTTAGCTCCCTTTCTGCCGTACTCCTTCCTAGACAGTCGCTTCCCATTCAGTATGGCCGTGTCCAGACTCAGGGGTTTTTTCGGGAAAAGTAGCCTTTTCCCGAAAAAACTTCCCCTGCGTCCAGACTCAAGCCGCGTTCTTTCGAAATTATTTCGAAAGAACGCGGCTTTTCTTTCGATGGCGGTAAACCTCGTTTCACGAGGAAGAACGCCTTCCTTCGAAAGTTCCTCTTTCGAAGGAAGGCGTTCTTCAATGTAAAGAGGCCGTCTTCGAAAGAGAGCATCCAGACTCGCTGGGTGCTCTCTTTCGAAAAAGCGGATTTCCTCTATCGAAAGATCCGCCTGCTGTCTAGACGCGATCTTTCGAAAGAGGCTCTTTCGAAAGATGCTTTCGAAAGAGGCTCTTTCGAAAGAAGCCTGCAGTCTAGACATAGCCTATGTGTGAAACTGATTGTTCCTTCCTAAGACAGAAGCTACAGTCTAAAGCCAGTCAGGAGAGGTAGAAGTCCATGACACATGCCTGCCAAATAGAAGTAATAATGGCTGGCGACTGAGCTGATGGGAAGAGACAAAAGCAGTTTTAATAGAAGCTCGTGAAATGGGGGTGTCTCCTTTAGGTCTTTCCTTCCCTCAATGTTTTTGAAGAGTTCATTAGTTATTACTCACCAGAGGAGTCCCCTTTAGAAAGGCTTCTGTCTCTCGAGTTCTTATGATCCCAGTCACGTGGAACTTCCCCACGTTCAATCAGAGATGCAACGTCAGGTTTGGTGGCCGCACGACTGTTGGCAAAAAGAGAGACTCAAACAATGTTGGGACTGGTCTTGATGACCTCCTGAGGTCTCTTCCAGCTCTAGGATTCTAATGTTTTCTGTTACTCAGCAAGCACTGTGACTGTGTCTACCTTGGACCACTTATTCCGGAAAAGCAGCCGCTGTCTACAGCCAGCTGTCTACGCTTGCCGCTTGCTTTTCCAGAAAAGCAATGATGATCTACTGTAAAATTGTCAGTGTTTTTCCGGAAAAACTATGCTGCTCCCGTTTGGGCAAAGGCCTTTTCCGGAAAAACTGTTCCAGAAAAGGGCCAGTGTAGACAGCACAGTAGTCTTTTCCATGCATTATTTACACCACAGTTAATCGTTCTTACTAACCATCAAGGAATAAAGATTTTCATCGCTTCCCAAAATCGAGTTCCTTAGGAAGGAAGACAGTGCCAACTTGAAATGCAACTGTTTATAGCACTGACCGGAAACACCGTGTACAACTCAAAACAGTTAAAACTTTCAAGTGTCAGACCGGAAACACCATGTACCACTCAAAACAGTTAAAACTTTCAAGTGTCAGCCACTGGGCGGTTTACCCCGTACAGTAAAATTGGGTTAGAATTCATGAAAAGCAGAAAACTTATTTTTATTTTCACATTGTTCATTTCAAAGGCCAAGTAAATAAAGAAAAAATTTCATTCTAGACTTCTCATTTTTCTCTATATTGAACGTGGAGGCGGGAAGGTACCAAAGTCATAGTTTACCTAGGGTACATCTAGACTACGCTGAAGTTTTAAAAGAGGAAGAGCAGAGCTTTTGAAAGTGAAAGTAGTCGGGACACGGTTTTTTCGGAATCCTCCCTTTTTCGAAAAGCCACTCTTCCTCAAAAAATGAGGCTTACATGGCTTTTCGAAAAAAAAGGAGGGGGTCCAAAAAAACCGCACTCCCACGGAATGTGCATCTCCTCTTTCGAAACTTCAGTGTAGTCTAGACATATCCCTAGGGTGCCAGATGGGCAGGCTGTGAGGGAAAACAGGCTCAGTGGGGTCTCAGCACATCAGATGACAGTCCTGAGGTGGACCCGACCGGTCACAAGAGTCATAAAAGACAAACACGACATCATTTTACAGAGCTCTTGGATCACTAAAGTGCTGGATGAGAGCAATGCAATGTCCTGATTGACTGCATGAATGCTGAATTGCAGAAAATGTCAACTGCTTCTATTAGTATATTGACATTTTCCCCACGTGAAACATCCCTTATTTGCACCAACACATCACGTGCAATGACCCAGCAGTTCACTTTTGCTCGTGGGCTAAAGATGGATGGAGAAGTACAGCCATTGTCCTAAACCAGAAGATTGTAAATGGAGGGTTTAGAGCAAGGATACTCCACTTTGGAAGCCCCGGGGGCCACAATGATACTCACAGCACATGCCGAGGGCCACAACTTTAATGTTGTTGCATATACTTGCAAATATATATGCAAATAGCTTCTCTCACATTGACGGTCATGAATACAAAAATTAAGGCAAGACTATACAACGCACAGGACCTATTTAAGTCAGTTCTGCTGATATTAATAAAATGCAATATTTACTCGATTTCCACACGTCAGCACTCTTAATGAGCAATGACAATCCAGGAATTTAATTTCCAAAAACGCATATCAACAGAAGACCATAATATTGGCTACTTTTTTGTTTTAGCTTCCTCCCGCGGGCTGCAAATAAATGGGCCACGGACCACATGTGGCCCACAGGCCGTGTGTTGAGTAACCCCGGTTTAGAGCTACCTTCTGTATTTTGAGTCTCCATTGATTGGAGTGGATGTTTTTCCCACACACAAAGGAATGCAAGTGCAAACCATCAGCGGAAAGCAATATCCCTGACCTGAATATCACTCAAGTCTGTCAGACCTCATCGACACTTCAACAAACAAACAAAATGAACATTTTTACCCAGAAAGATCAAAGTTGTGTAGTTGTTCCTCACTGAGTTCTTCTTTAGTTCCTTCTGCCATCCTGCTAGCTCCTCTCCCTCCTCCTTGGGGACCCAGATGGCAATGTCACACATAGCCTGAAATGAAACACAGCGCCACTCTGGATCTAAACTCACGGCTGCAACCTTCAGGCAGACAGACAGATGGACGCTGGCACGGAGAGCTGTAAAATGAGGAATGACGTGGTTCCAGTTTGGAACGCAGCGAAAGCTTATTATTTATATACTGTCTTCTATATTAGGCTGTTCTTCTCGTTGCGAAGCAGTTGGTATCTGAAACCTACAACAATCTTAATTCTTGTTAGTGCCATGAGAGATGGGCAGACGGAGGTACAGGCCGTCATTGCTGTGAGTCCAAGATACGTTCCAAAAAACTTGAATGTATAGCCAGGGGCAGATGATGATTTTGCAGGGCCCCGGGCAGCACAATTTTGCGTGGCCCCCTTTTGCGTGGTGGCACCACGGCGCATGCGTGGGGCTTCTTGAAGCGCAGGGCCCGGGGCGGCCGCCCCACTCTCCCTGCCCTATATCCGCCCCATAACCACTGAATTACTAAAACATCAACACAGATTGTTGTTAGATCATAATCATGTGAACCTGAATGCTAGATTAGATTGCGTTTTTCTGGCGCGACGTAAGGGAGAGGAATGGGCGGATGTACATCGCACCCGTTCCTACAAGCGTCGACGACATTAGTGCGGAACGGATGTACGCCGGGGCGACTTATAGCGGGGACGCCGCGTACGGCTGAGTCTCCTCCTAATCAGCCAACGGACAGGCTTGAGGTTTAGACGAACCTGAATGCTAGATTAGATTGCGTTTTTCTGGCGCGACGTAAGGGAGAGGAATGGGCGGATGTACATCGCACCCGTTCCTACAAGCGTCGACGACATTAGTGCGGAACGGATGTACGCCGGGGCGACTTATAGCGGGGACGCCGCGTACGGCTGAGTCTCCTCCTAATCAGCCAACGGACAGGCTTGAGGTTTAGACAATAGG